ATGGATAGATGGATGGATGGACGGACGGACGGACGGACGGACTGACGGATGGATGGAGGTTTTGGAAGTAACAGGTCCAGGAGAGAAACACAGACATCCCTTTCCTCAGTAACACTCTCCAGCTCGTTTAGTGGGATCTGAAGGTGTTCCCAGACCAGGAAGATTGTTTAATCCCTCTAGTGACTTCTAGGTCTGCCTCAAAGTCTCCTGGATATTTCTGGGAAACGTGGTGATCGAGCCTCTGATACACATGAGGCAAAGACTTGTCCCCAACCCTGAAAGCATTCCACCATTTTTGATTGAGAACCATGGTCTTTGACAATTACATTTAGCCTTTGCTTAATGTGCCTGTGACATGCATGTCTGTCAAACACAAAAAGTCAAAGAAAGCGTCTTTATATTTTAGAAACTTGACAAGATATGCGATTTTACCCACTTTGTCCCATAACTGGCACATTTTATTTTGAACTTGGCTCAGCCAAAATGAAACAGGAAGTGACATCAAAGGGGAATTCTTCTTTGTTTATTGAGACAATAGTACTTGAACTCTGACTCCTCATCTCTCTGATAGTGACACAAAATAATCTAAACGAACATCAGATTCTCCTCCACAGTCTGTGTTGTTCGCAGTTGTAGCAACACTCTGTTTACATGCAGCTTTTCCCCTTTGACATCACTTCCTGTTTCTTCACATWTGAATATCTCAACAACTGTTCATCTCAGCAGAGTAAATGTTTTTGTTGTTGTTGTTGTTTTGCAGTATGTTGTCAGTGTTAGCTGTCCAAAAGCACTGTCCTGTCTGTTGCTGTCCAAATATCTATTACAAAAATTTGATGTCACAGGCACTTTAAGACACAATAAACAAATGAGTTTTAATGTTTTGTGAAGATTGTTATCAATTATCGTTAATGCAGGAAGCAAGGATCCATCTATCTGATGCTGGATTTAGTGATATATTTTAATTAAATTTAGACTAAACTGCAAGAAATCACAACTTAACAGCAAAATTAAAATAAATAAACCAAGAAAAAAGTGGAAATATAACTGAATTGTGTCTTATACTGTAGACCTTGTTGTTTGTTTGGTTTTACTTTACTATTACCAGAGAATATGATTTTTTTTTACTCTTTGAAGATTATTTTTTACACATGTATGCAAATAAGAATGAGTTTCTATGCCAACATGTATGACTGATTTTGTATCAGTAAAATGTGCTGATGTACAGTATTTTAGGGCTTCTGAGGCTTTAAAATACAGTAGTTGTTCCTCTTGTACTTCTTCTGCTGTGCTTGTGACTGCCACCCCCCCCCCCCCCGGGCCCTCAGCCCCCATCAGTCAACAGGTTCTCAATAGGGGTTTATTTTCAAACCAAGTCCAAGTTCAGGCGAAGGTAGCAGCAATCAATTACTGGAAAAGAGAACAACCGAAAACGTGTTATAGATGCTGACCTCCGAGAGAAACGTTATATCTTCTTCTTCTTCTTCCTTCTCCTTTCGTTGAAACTGGTGGCTGACAAAGTCGACCACATGTGGAAAATCTTCCATAACGTTGGAACGGAACCAAAGCGTTTATATTGGATTGCTGGGTCCGAGCTGCTCATGAGTCAGCTGATGCACAAAAAGGGATTTTGTTGGGGATATGAGGACATTTTGTGTGATTAATGGCTGAATGATAAGATTCTAAACTTCAGATCTCTGCTTGTGTTTGACAGAATAAGGAGGAAACCCTGGACAGCATTGTGCCTTATATCTATAAAATGGGATTTCAACCCCAGATTCTCAGTCTTTGGTTTTCTTTGGGTGGTTTTCCATTCTTTAATGGAAAGTAGAACAAACTTCACAGCACCGTTTAGTTTCTAACCTTTTTTTTCCAATCCAAATATCAGCCAAATTCCACTTAAAGCCTTTCATCTGTGGAAAAAAACTACAAAACTTTGTATTTTATAACCTGAGTCAAACAGTAAGAGCTGCAGGATAAAATAATAACAAGAAGAATAAACTTAAAGATATGCAAAATTGTGAAAAAATGAAAGGGATGCAGTGAAAGTCAAAGATGCCAAACTGGCTGCTGTTTTATTTATGAGCCTCCTGGAGGTGGAGAGCTCTGGGACACATGCAGCCAGCGCTTTATGAATAAATAAAAAGGTGCACTTACTGAAATAAAAGCCTCTCTCTCCGCAGACAAACTGCAGCGTGTCGACCAGCTCCGCCCCGCACAGGGTCTCGGGAATCGCCCCTGTTGCCGTCGGAGTCAGGATGAGGACGCACAGCAGTAGTGGGAGGGTGTGGCTACAGGAGATACAGCACATCGCACCCTGCGCACAGGGGAGACAACATGTTAACACGTTCACTGCTGGACACACACAGAGCATCACCGGAGCAAAGAGTTCTCCTCCAAAGTTTAATAAAACTTCTGCCGGTGCGCACTTTTTATTTTTGGCTCAAAGAGGCTTGTTTAGTTCAGGGCTGATAAAAGTAAGAGCCAGATGGCCAACTTGAGAGAGATTTGGAACAGGGAAGGAAAATGATTGAATTTAGGGTTCCACTTGGTGCCAAAGTCGGTCAAACAGGAAGCGGAGGTGCTCTGATGCGCATTGAGCGCCGTGCGCAATGGAGCAGAGCGCATCCAAACTGAGAATATCATCCAGCCATTACACAGCAGTAACTTAGTCACAGTCCATAATAAGCAAAGACAYCCATTCATCCATCTAATATATCACTAACAACCACTTCAGCATCTAGATGTGCCAAAAAATAAAGAGATGTCAGCGCGTTTTTACGCACGCGCTTGTTCAGAAATACGGGATGCAAGAGGGGGGAAAAAACACACCAGGGAGTCTTTCAGATCCAAAAATGTGAGATGGAAAACAGCTCTCCCGCCAAAGCCAGTGGAGAAACCTGCCTAAGCCAGATAGACTTAATAATAATAATAAGACTAATAAAGAGAATAAACACGGGCCATCATTCATCTGCAGCTGCGCCCCGCCGCGCCAAAACTCAGCTCTCCTCATTCTCAAGCATCCAAGCATCAGGTAAAAGATTATTTTAGCTTCTCAGAATGCACACTCAGCAGTAATTACTGGGGAAAGTGTCAGAGCTAAGTGCGTTACGGCTTTCTGGTGGAGGGGAAAAAAGGGGCGCATGCAGGGGCACAAAACGGATGAAAATCCCATTCATGCACAATTCATGCAAAATGAAGAAAAAAAAGTCAATTAAAGCAGAAAGTGGAGAATTTGTGATGCAAAATAAAAACTGCTGCAAAAATGATTTAACAAAGCTACAAAAAAACTTTGAATTAAAAAAATTAAAATGCGTGAAAAATAAAAAATGCGCAAAAATAATTTTATTGGTTCCGTTTGTGCGCGGATTCTGTGATCCAGTGAACCGATCTATAGTGTGGAAGGAAATCAGGTAAGTTACCTTGAGGACATCACATAAATGAGCGCAAGACATCCCCATGGGTCTCCGCAAGACAAAGCCCGGCGAAAAGGACCAACTTGTTTGAAGTCATTAAAAAAATAAAAAATAAAAAAATATATATCTGGGAGAGGAGAGGAGAGAAAGTAACAAAACGAGAGAGGATGAGATGCGGGCAATGTCACATCTCAATATTCCGACTTGGTTCCATTGCGCAGGCTCGTTTTGGAGAAGTGAGATTTAGCGATCAGGAGACGGATTTAGAGAGAAAATCCCTCACATTTATCTACATTACACAGACATTTTCAACAGGAAACAGCTGGGGCAGCATTTGTCTCCTCCTCGTCCTAAGTTATTCATTAAGGGTTTTTGGGCACATGTTCAAATCACGTCATTTCTCTTTTCTTTTYTCTCTCTCTCTTTCTCCGAACGGGATGGAATTTTGATCTCCGAGATTTGGTTCACATCTAGCCCCAGCAGCACCTCACAGAACACAACCCTTTATACATACATACATACATACATACATACATACATACATACATACATACATACATACATACATACATACATACATACATAC